CATTAGATTAGCTAATCAAGTCTGTGGTCACACTGGCAATTTGAATCAATTCCTGTACAGACTTTTTAAAAATCAGGTTCAAGTCACGTAATTAAACCAATGGCCACGTTCACATGCACTGAATTGAAATCAGTTTATTTTGGGTGATCTAAACTGGTTTTTGTGTCTACACTGCTGAAATCAACTCATTTCCTTCTGTTTTAGGAGCATGCTGTTCTTAAAGGTTTTTATTTTATTTTATTTTTTAAAAGCAAGTGATACATTGATGAATTGAGTGTTTAGGAGGTGCCACCTGGTGTTGTAGTAGTTGCTAGAAACTATGGAGGAAACACCAGAGAGATGATCTGGGCAATTAATTATTAAAAAATGGTAATGTGGAGAAGGCTTCCAGCTCCCTTGCACAATAATGCTCCTGGTGCATGGACCATCGTGTGTGTCCATGCGCCCCCTTTCTGTGTCTCCTTGTCTTTTGCTGCTCTGCTGGCTGCTTCATCAGCTGAATGGAGAGAAGAGGTTAGGTGGTTGTAATGCTGAAGATACTGATGGAGTGATACAGTGATAAGTATTATAAGAAAGATTTTTTTAAAAAAATTAAAAGGAAAAACAGTGGTACCTCTGACAGCCAAAATCCACATGTAATGCTGAAGATACTGATGGAGTGATACAGTGATAAGTATTATAAGAAAGATTTTTTAAAAAAAATCAAAAGGAAAAACAGTGGTACCTCTGACAGCAAAAATCCACATTTGTTGTTGTTTGGTTGTTTAGTCATGTCTGACTCTTCGTGACCCCATGGACCAGAGCAGGCCAGGCCCTCCTGTCTTCCACTGCCTACCGGAGTTGGGTTAAATTCATGTTGGTCACTTCGATGACACTGTCCAACCATCTCATCCTCTGTCGTCCCTTTCTTCTCTTGCCTTCACACTTTCCCAACATCAGCATCTTTTCCAGGGAGTCTTCTTTTCTCATGAGAAGTATTGGAGCCTCAGCTTCCGGATCTGTCCTTCCAGTGAGCACTCAGGTTTGATTTCTTTTAGAATTGATAGGTTTGTTCTCCTTGCAGTCCAGGGGACTCTCAAGAGCCTCCTCCAACACCACAATTCAAAAGCATCAATTCTTCGGCGGTCAGCTTTCTTTATGATCCAGCTCTCACTTCCGTATATCACTACAGGGAAAACCATAGCTTTGACTATTCGGACTTTTGTTGGCAAGGTGATGTCTTTGCTTTTAAAGATGCTATCGAGGTTTGTCATCGCTTTCCTCCCAAGAAGCAGGCGTCTTTTAATTTTG